TAAAGGAAATTATTTCAGTGAAAATGATGATATTCTCAGAATAATTAGATTTGGAACAGAATCCAGCTGGGACACCTACTAAATGAACTAGCGAATGAATCTGAGGGTAAACAAACCACACCAGGAGACCTGCCTTCTGGTGTCTACCTGTGGAGCTCTTCTCTGATTCCACTGGTTTCAACTCCAGCTGCTCCGCTGGAATCTGCTATTGTGTTCTGTACTGCATCACTTTCTTTCCCTGTAGTTTCCCTTTTATTTGTATTAAAACTGACACTTCAAGACTTTTCCACCTGAAATCCTGCAAAGGCTGAGAACTTGCTTTGTCTCCTTCCACTGCCATCTTTCTTATCAAATCCTTGAGAGCAGAGTGAACATGCAAGGTGATGAATGAAGGTGTTAAGAAAAGAAGCCAAATACCTTAAATGAACACATATACAAATGAAAATGTGGATTAAACCTAACAAACTTTCTTGCAATAGAGAGTACTGACTTCTTACATTCCTTTTGCCTATAATACTTTTTGGCTCTCTATTTCAAAGAGAATCCATTTAAACAATTCTTCTTGCACCATAAAATGTTTTTTTTTTTTTGCAAGGTTTTAAAAGCTAACAAACTCCATATAACTCATGAGTCTTTTATACTAATCCACATTATCTAGTCCTCTCAGTCCATGGATAGATGTCAGGAATTTTGTTTAAGTAAATGTTTTTGTTTAAGTCAGTTTTTATTATAGGGAGCAAAATGCAATACACACCAGACATATTGACATGAAAAAAGCACTTATGGTTTGAAGGGTTGAACTCATGGATGGAACTAGAAGGAAGAACCGGAGTAATGAGTCTGTGTTATATTTTATCTATAACTGATGAATCAAGGATATGTCCATATTTTGAGAGCTGAAAGGAAGGGGAGATTAACAGAAGAAACTCTTGGAAATCAACTCAAAGGAAGTAACACTTAGTAGGCTGATTTTGGATAATGGAGAGGAAGGAAGATCGCGGCATTTCAAAGACTGAAATGTCAATGAGTGGAGAGATCAGGCATCCAAAATGAGTTCAGACTGTGCAGTTTTTTATATAACATCAAAAGTAAATTCTGAAGAGGAAGTAGAGACAAAAAAAGAAAGAAAGGAAAGAAGGAAGGAAGGAAAGAAGGAAAGAAGGAAAGAAGGAAGGAAAGAAGGAAGGAAGGAAGGAAAAAGCCCCCATATAAAAATCCAAGTTCCTCCATGTTGTTAACAATCAGACCCCAAGTGTTGGAGCATGACCCAGTGACTTACAATGCCTGATATAAACAATTAGAACCTTGTATCTTATCACAAATGGCCAGTCACAGGAGAGAAAAATAATATAAATTTGCTACTGTCACATAAAAGAACAGCTCCTACCTCAAAGGAATAAAAGACTTGGTTTATTCAGGAGTGTATATGAATGACCACAGCTGAGGAACACAGACTTAGGTCACCCCAAATTCCATGATCCAACATGGAGGCAATGCCATGAAGTTTTATAGTTTTACAGAACAAAGAAATTTATAAACCAGGGCGAGCTTAAAATACATTGGTGGGTGCATCACAGAGGTAATTCCAGAAAGATTAGGGGAGTTTATATATATAAATGCTATTATATAGATAGTTTTTAGAAAGATGCTATATGATAACATTCTTAGCTTTTTCTTAGCTTCCAATTTATAATGCTGTTCTCATCGTTGAACAGTCCATTGTGAGGTCAGGTCACAGAGGCAGGTCTCACCTCTACATGTAACTTTGCAATGCTGGCCCTGCCCCTGGGCAGCCCTTCCTGGTGTCTGGTACGTGGACTGGAACCTGAGTATTATGTTCCCCTAACAACTCCAGATTCTGATCAGTAATTTTGCCTGGATGGACACTGTGCAGTTTTGAGTCAAAGTATGCTTGTTTGTTTGTTTGTTTGTTTGTTTGTTTGTTTGTTTGTTTGTTTTTGTTCATTCCCATAAGCCAAAGGAATTCTACTGGTCAGAGTTCTGCTGGTTGACTGACACTTGCTCTGATTTTCTTAATAGTGTATTTCATGAGTGGTCTCGGACCATGAAGATATCAACTGTGGAAGTTTGTTTTTTAAAAAATGGCCTAAACATTGTAATAAGAAAAACACACTGTGACTAAAAGCATAGCAAAGAAATCATCGGAGGGAGAGTGTCTCTCTCTTGTGAGGGCATGAGTTTTTACCTGGTTTTGCCTAGTACACCTTTCATGCAGGGTTGTATTTGAATAGATAAGAGGCGGGCTGCTAACTAAAGTGTTCGATACTGTGAATGAGAATTCCTGGAGAGAAGCTGTGTCTGCAGGGGCTGATGGACTGTTTAGAACAGCAGAGCTGTGGAGAAGCGGGAATGTTGCAGGTCTGGAGTCTTATTATTTCACATTCGCCTAGTTCTAGCCTCACCTCCTTGCCCACCTCTATGTCTGAACTAACACCTTGTGATTAATAGGTTTTAGAAGAATCTTTTGGGATTAGCGACCACTAGCTTCCACCAACCCAAGAGCTAAAAATGTCATCCAGAGAGACATCAGTTCTAAGAACTGACTTGTGAAATACTATGTACTGATGGGACCAGCATTTATGGCATGACCTCAACCTCACAATGATCTGCCTAGAGGTAAGAATAGCATCAGCTCAGCAACAGAAGGACTGTCTAGATGTGTGGTCAGCATCTGTGACCTGACCACCCAGGGACATGACAGGCATGTGGGTGCCCAGGAAGGAATGCTGAGAGTAGAACTTATAATAACAACCAGGCAAGACTGCATTCATCTCTATCCCTTATTCACCCTTGACCCCTCCACATTTATTTATTCCTCTATATATTTAATATTCAATACCTACTTACTAGGCTCTCTCTCTCTCTCTCTCTCTCTCTCTCTCTCTCTCTCTCTCCTCTCTCTCTCTCTCTCTGCAGGCACTGATCTCCTCCTCTGCCTTCTTATTTCTATTTTCTTTTTTCTCTTCTTTCTTGTTTTCTTTTCATAGGATTTCCAGAACAACTAGACTAACTGATTTGTGGGTTCTCTGTGCTTAGTATCTTAAGACCTGAGTCTTGTGTGGATTGTCTCATTGCATTTCTTTCCTTTTCTTTTCATTCTACCTTTAAGCCCAAACTCTTTCTCTCCTGTAAGCCCCGCTGTCCCCTTCCTTCTATTTACTCTTCTCTCAATTCCATCCATCTCAAACTATTCACTAGACTCTGTTTTCTGGTTTGATTTATATTTGTTTCCACAGTATTTAAAATCTGAGTGTATACCACACTTTCTGTGTTCTTTTAATTCTTAAAATATCCGTGTGTCAAGTGTGATTGTTACTCAGTCACTGCAGTACCTTGACAGTGATTGTTTTGCCAACAATATTCTACTTTTATGGGAGGACTGGAGACCGAATCCAGTGCCTAAAATACAAATGTGTCAGAGAAAAATGAAACCTCAACCTGGCTACAGCCTCGTCCCTCTTAAACATAAAAATTATTTTCCTTTAAAGAATTGGACCAGGTGGTGGTGGCTCATGTCTTTAACCCTAGCACTTGGGAGGCAGAGGCAGGTGGATCCCTATGAGTTCAAGGCCAGCTTGCATACAGAGTGAGTTCCAGGACAGGCTCCAAGGCTACACGGAGAAATCTTGATTCGAAAAACAAACAAAAAAAGAATTGGAAAGAATATCAACCACTTGCCTAACACCAGAAGTACATTATCTAATTCCAAATCACCAGAGGCGGAAAAAAAAAAAAAAGCCAACATGAATTCTACCAAATTATTAATCCCACAATATTGTCTTCTAATAAAAATGAATTAAATTCTAGGCACAGGATTTAAGGGAAAGATTATAAGTATGTTCAAAGAAGACATGAAACCAATTCCAGGATGAATTCTAAGATAATACAAACAACTGAATAAAATAAGGAAACCAATAAGGATATAAAAGTAGAATTCAATGAAGTTATAGAAATATGCAAAATAACCAGGAAAAAAGGAAAATATGAATTTAATATGTCAAATAAAACTCTCTGTGGAAAAAATCACCAACATAATGAATCAAGAGAAGGACAATACACCAGGACTTTAAGACAAGAGAGACTGATTGGAAAACTCAGGCCAATAGTAAGTTACTAACAGAATTTCAAGATCTATGTGACACTAAAAAGAGTGGCCAAAGTTATTAATAATGGGCACTGGAGAATAATTTCTTGCTAAAGGCTTAGCAAATTAGTTAATTACAATTATAACAAAATATTTCCTAAATCTTGGGAAATAGAGGCACATCTAGACATCTAGATACAACAGGCCTGTAGAATACCAAAGAGTTAAGGTCAGGAAAGAACTTCCTTCCTCATAAAATAAAAAACCCCACTAAACTAAAACTATAAAGCTAAATGTATAGAACAAAAGAGACATATTTAAAGTCACCATAAACACCAAATCAGACATAAAATCAGGCCCATAATAATAACAGATTTCTGGACAGAAACTTTAAAATCCAGGAAGTTTAGGAATGAAGTACTTCAAGCTTGGAATGACAACCTCTATTTCTGTATCCAGCAAAACTATCTGCTATATTTGTAAGACAAATAAAAGCTTTCCATGATAAATCAAACCAAGGGAATTTATGATCTCTAAGTCAGCTCTATAGAATACACTTGAATAAATCTCTAGAATAAAGAGAGAGAGGTGCATACTTGGGAGCTGAAGAGAGTTTAGCATCTATTACAGTGACAATTCCTCTGATTTTCCTGAGAGTATGATTCATGAATAATTGGAGGCCATGGCTGTACCAACCAATCAAGGTTGTTTTTAAAATAACCTAAGCATTTTAATAAAGAATACACTATGGAGAGAAACACAATACTCAAAGAAAGAATTATTTCCCTGTGAGGAAATGGGGTTCTCAGCAGTTAAAAGAAGTTACCTGGCTTTGCCTCAAAGGCCCTTTGATCTTGCCTCCATATGAAAATGAGCCTATATAATCCGAACTTACTTGGAATGTACATTCTCAATTGTCTGAGGTCTCATTTTCTGAAATGATGACATCTTCCCTCAACTCCATTGAACTATAGGGAAGAACAAACCACATTGGAAGAATAATTAAGAAACTCAAATACTACAAAAATCAACAAGGATCAATATAAATCTTTTGCATGTTGATAGTTTAAAGACTCTAGTAGAAAGATAGAGCTAGCAGATTGGACTTATTATCCAGCTGTTGCTGTTTGCACACCACCCATGCCTCCTATTATGTGTGGCAATGCAATGTGAAGATGAAGATGAAGTCACTGAAGAGGGCTAGCTTACTGTCTACTAAGCCTGTTTGTTTAACCTTCCTTTAAGAGAACAATGCAATGGTCAACCTTACTTGTCTTCGGCTTTCCATGTGATCAACTTTTACAACCTCAGCTAACGTATAGCTGCAATTGGAGGTTACACACTCTTAGATGCCCCTGACCAAGATAATTCATGTGTATTGTTTGATGAAAGCAGCAAGTACAGAGGTTTAAAAACAACCTCCTAAAGTCCACTGTGATGGGCATTGGTTGATAAACAATGATGTTTGTTATCTGGATCCGTGGGGATCAGTTGGTTCCAGCAACTTAATCCCTTGTAAAAAGTCTAAAATTTCTGTGAAGTATCCCATGCCTTCTCCCATGTGATGCTTTCTGTGCAGTTCAATAAGTAGTGAGAAGCTCTTTGTGAGGAAGACAGAAGACAGAGGGAGCATGAAATAGAGAACTTAAGTCTGGGCTCATTCTTGTTTAAATGACTCTAGAAGTGCTTTTATCTCTTTCCTTAATGTGACACTGATGGATTATTGGTGACTCAGTTAATCATTAATGCATTTAATCCACACAACTGTGCTGATTTGGGTCTGCTTGGAGCCTGAACCCAGAGTTCCAACTTCAGGTAGAGATACCCAGAACCACTTTTATCACCTCCTCTTTCCCACTTCAGCCACCCCACCAACCACTGGCCCCAGGAACCCCAAACCCTACTCAAGAGACTCCCAGAGTTAGAGCCATTCACCCATGGAAATTAAACATCTGACATAAGATTAGTAGTAGCTAATGTATACAAAGAACTAAACAAAACCTATGCATCAAACAAAACAACCTAATTTAAAGTGGGGTATAGAACTGAATGAACAAAGAGTTCTCAAAAGATGGAACACTAGGGCTAAGAAACATTTAAAACTGTTTAACATCCTTAACCATCATGGAAATCCAAATTGAAACTAATTTGAGTTTTCATCTTACCCCAGTCAGAATGGCCAAGATCACTGAAACAAATGATATTTCATGCTAATTAGGGTGCAGGGAAAGGGGATTCACTGCTGGTAGGAGAGCAATGAATACAGTCACTACTAAAATCACTGTGGAGGTTCTTCACAAGGCTGGGAATAATCTACCTCAAGATCCAGCTCTACCACTCTTCGATATATACACAAGGGCTCTACATCTCACAACAGAGATACTAACACACCCATGTTCATGGCTGCTTTTTTCATAGCAGCCAGAAATTGTAAATAGCTTGGATGGCCATCAACAGAAGAAAGGATAATGAAAATGTGGTACATTTACAGAATGGAATATTGTTCAGCTGTGTAAACAAGTGAAATGTGCAGGTAAATGATGGAGTTGGAAACAACTCCTGAGTAAAGTAACCAAGACTCAGAGGGACAAAATAGTGTACGTTTTTCTCTTTATTCATGGATGTTAGCTTTTAAGATTCAGGTTTGTGAGTTTCATTTATAATATCCACAGAGGTTAGATATTTAAAAAGGGACGGGGAGTAAGGAAGCTCTTCCAAGAAGAATAAATTGAATACATTGTTATAAACCAACACAGGGAAATTAGAAGAGGAGGATTCAATGGGGAGGTGAGTGGGATGGTAGGGGAGTATATGGGGAAGGATAACTAACACTAAAAATACTTTGAAAAGTTATATGAAAACCTGGTGCTGTAGAAGCTTCCTGAAACATATATCCAAACTAGACATCATATGCTACCAAATAAAACTTCCAGGACTAAGAATATGGTGTATATTATATCTTGTTGAATCATTGCCTAAAGGACTCCTATAGCACACTAACCCCCAAATATCTCATGCTATTGTTTAGCCTTTACAACCTGATGGTAAGGCTCAATTGCTGAAGATACCATAGAAATACTAAAGGCATCAAACATGGAGAAATTGATGCTCATCTAGAAACACCACTCATACTAATTAGCAGCCATAGTGATGGAAGGTGCTATACACCACCAGAGGAGAATAAGAATCATCAATCTCACCGCGTCATGAACATTAGAGATACAATAGAGAACTTTCTGCAAGACATGCTGCTTGTGCAATAACGGTATAAGCATTATGGGGGTAACCAACGATTATTTTGATTAGATTTAAGGCTTGGTCTATTAGATGGAACCCATACCTTATACTATTAATGAAGCCAAGAACATGAAAGTAGATAGGCAATGGGCCCTAGAGGAAAACACACTATTATTCTGTTCAATAAAGATAACCACAGAACAACATTTAATGACATATTGCTATAACCATAGATCACTGGTGCATTGCTCAACCATCATCAGAGAAGTTTCTTCTTGCATTAGATGGTAATTACCAAAGAGACACATACCTAGTGTGTGAAATGTGAAAAATGGGTTGGGTTTTTTATGGGGTTTTGGTTTGTTTATTTGTTTTTACTCTTTTTTGAGTTCTTTATGTATTCTTGATATTACTCTTCTGTCAGAGGTATAGCTGGTAAAGATTCTCTTCCATTGATTGTTTCTTATCTATGTAGAAACATTTTAGTTTCATGAGCTCTCACTTGTGGATTGCTGGCCTTAATTCCTGGAAAATGGGGTTCTACTCAGAAGGTCCTTTTCTACATCTGTATTATGTATCACCTGTTTTCTTCTACCAGTTTCAGTGTTTGGGGTTTCATATCTAGGTTATTGATCCACTTGGAGTTGCTTTTTGTGAAAGGTGGTAAGTACAGGTCTAACTTTATTCTTCCACATGTCGACATCCAGTTTTCCCAGTACCATTTATTGAAGATGCTGTCTTTTTTTCCAGGTTATGTTTTTTACATCTTTTTCAAATACTGGATGGCTGTAGTTACAGGTAGTCATGTTTAGATATTCAGTTTTGTTCCACTGATCTACATGTCTGCTTTTGTGCCATTACTATATTTTTGTTTTTATTATATTTTCATTTTTATTACTATGGCTTTGTTATATAACTTGAGATATGGAATATTAATCACTCTAGCACTATTCTTTTTTTGCTCAGGATTGCTTGGGCTATCGTGGATTTTTTGGGGTGCAATACAAATTTTAAGACAGTTTTTTTTTCCTATTTCTGTGAATGATATGGGAATTTGGATTGGAATTGCTTTGAAACTGTAAATCAATTTTGGTAGAATAGCCATTTTCACAATATTAATTCTGCCAATCCACAAGCATGGGCTCTCTATTTCCTAGTGTCTTACTCTATCATTTTTCTTCAGAGATTATATTCATTGTTGACATCTTTCATATTCTTGGTTATGTTTATTCCTAGGTGTTTTATTTTCTTTGATGTTATTGTAAATGGGAGTGAGTCAATTTTCTCTTTTTGTGTATGTTTGTTGTTGGTATATAGAAGTTGATTTAAAGTTGATTATGTATCCTATCATTTTTATGAAACTTTTTTCTAGAAGTTTTCTGGTAATATTTTGTGACCTCTGATGTATGCTATCATATCACTTAAACTAGGAATAGTTTGATTTCTTTTTTTCCTCTTTGTATTCCTTTTGTTTTCTTCTCCTGTCTTATTGCTCAAACTAATGCTTTGAGTACAGTCTCTAAATGAAGTGAGGATAGTGGACAGTGGTGTTTTATTCCTGATTTCAGTGGAATTGCTTCAAGACAATAAATATCTAAAAAATTTTTTTTTCCCCCCATTTTTTGGAAAATCCCAATTTAAACTTCTTTTGGTTTTCCTTTTCCTTCCGTTTGGATTGGCGTTCTTTTAAAAATATATAAATACTGACAGATATGAATGAAGAGGAAGCCTTATATAACATTGGAAGAATTGAAACTAGTCCAGATGTTGTGAAAAGTGATATGGATGGTTCTTAAACATCTAGCAATAGACACAGTAGATGATCCAACTGTACCCTTCCTGGTAGTTTTACACAAAGGACACATCACAAAAATTCTTTCACATCAATGCTTACTGCCAGACTAGTCACAAAAGCTATTGTTGAACCAGTAGAGGTGTGAAACATCAAAGAAATTAATAAAGAAAAGGTGGTTGTGATGGTGAACATTGTATTTATAAGATAATTTATTGTGCTGGGAAGATTTGTAAAAAGAAAATTATTTTTAGCTTGTAATCCACAAAGAAGTTGCTCCTCTCTTGAAAAAAAAAAAATTGAACCTGTCAGCTAACTGGCCCAAAATGGATGACTTCCTAGAGCACTTGGGCTAGTCTTAAAAACACTGACTGTTGTAAAATCTTTCATTGCTTCAGCTATTCTTATAAGCTATGGGTCTTAAGGCCAACAAACCAACTGCTAGTTCCACTTTTGTATGAAACTCTTGCTTCCTCGGGATCCCTGAAGCATCTGCTGGATATCTGCTACAAAAAATTAAGCTTTGCCTGCACCCAGACACCCAGAGTTAACTCAACCCTCCTATACTCCCCCAAATTGTGACTTTGTGGGGTTTGCCTTTAAAAATCCTTCAACTAACAATAATCGGAGATGAACAACCCCAGAGCCATGAAATGGTTAAGTAGGTTTTTAAGCCATAAATGAAGTTATGTCATTTATAGAAATATGAATGTAAGTAGAAATGACTCTATTAATTGACTTACACCAATTTCAGAAAAACAGTGTTGTTTTCTCTCATAAGTGGTTTTATTTATGTCCATAAAATCTGTATGCTTACATGGCATGAAATGAGAAGCCAGACTGTCTAGGAGACAATGGGGAGTGGGGACTTACTTAGAAAGAAGAAGACAAGTATATGGAGGTGATGTGCTCAGCACACAATATGCCTATCTATGAAAA